GACGGCGCATGGTTATGCATTATACCAGTGTCTGAAGCACTCCTTCTCTCTGTCTCCCGATTTCAAGGCTTTTACTATGGCGTTCGTGACCCGTAACCGCGCAACTAACCTTAGTTTCCACGCCGTGTAGCATTGTAGATGTTGCTAAACCGCTGTGGAACATTTAGCTCAAGTTCCATGCATTTTCGGAATCTTCCTATGGCTCTTATCTACTCTTCCACTTCTGTAACAACTCGGAATAAACAGAAAAGAACCTGTTATTGTTCACCTTCCCATCTTCTCCAATTTTTGATCCCCTGCGCCATCGTGTGTTTTTAAAAGGTAACCAGGATAGGCTAGAGGTCTAGTTCAGCACATTTTGTTGAGATCGGAATTATGGCTTCGGGAAGCCCAGCAAAGTTCGAAATTTATAGTTCCAGAAATCGATTTAATTTGAGAGAAAGTATTAGAAAACATTCCTTGCGCATTCTATCAAGCCCCCTATACAACGCGCTAGCACACTAAGGGGAAGTGCGTTGTGAGGTTGAGTGAGACCTTTCCAAATTGCAACGACTTTGTCATGTGACATCAAGGCTCAACTGTCATATTTTCCAGATATTTTGGCACCGGTCGTTGAAAAGGCAGCTTTTCAACTAGCCAGACTTCTACGAGTGAGTCAAGACGCTGTCTCTAAAAAGGAGCCATATCCTTTCACTGATTTCTGGCAGGACACAATGCAAAGAATCGCTGTAAGTTACCGAATCCCTCACCAATCTTGATGACCATTTTCGTTATTTATAGAAGGATATCAACGTCAACCATATCATATCTCAAGCACATACAGCTTCGATGGACAAGTTGAGACCAATCCTGAACCGCCTGCGCTCGGCTCGCGACTCGCTCGTGAATTTCCGTTAGCTCGATTGTGATCACCATATTTATTGTGGAAACCTTGCACAGTGATAAATTATTCTGTCCTCTATAATGAAACATTTATGGAAGATGACTATATGTCTTTTTTTACACTTACTAATTGATTTCTAGTCTCTTTCTTATTAGGGTTTTTCAATTTTCCGAAAGAGTCGTCCAAAATATTGCGAATATATAATCTTCGTGGGACTTAAAACAATCATTTTGACACGATGCCTACTAGAAAGGGACCATTTTGTCGTATTTGGATGGTAGATATTGGGCAAAATGCCATGAAAATTCTAGCTTTTTTCCACACTTAAGGAACACACAGCAGTTATCGGGTCGGAACTTTTTTGTTTGATTTAGGGCAAGTCTTAAACAGCGAACTTGCTTCCATATTATATACAAAATCAAGTGTGGATTACAATGTGCAACATATTTTCCCAAAATCGAGTATCGGTAAACTCAAATATTTTGGAGTTCAGCTTAATAAAACACAAAGAAATTAGCGATTTTTATGCAGTTTCATGGCTCGTGATGGCATGGCATTTTATTGAAATTGAATCTAATAGAACACCACTTCTGGATGTTAGACTCGAAGCCTAAATTTTATAAACTAAATCGGATTGTGCGAAAGAATTCTTCGCTGGTATGTGGATGGTACGCAGAGTCAACCCTGCGTTGCGCAGTTCGCAACGGCACGTTGAGAGATCCTCAACGCACGCTGTATGGGCGGAGACACAGACGGCTCGAGCATGCGAGTGTGAATGTTCGCGCGAGAGAACGTGTCTAATCGGGCGAAACTGCGCAACGTGGCCGTTGAGAACTGCGCAACGCAGGGTTGACTCTGATGGTACACATCCGGGCTCTTTCCTGAGGTGCACAACTTAGTTCGAGTTCAGGTATCGACACGGTTTCTAAATAACGGAAGCTTTGACAGAGTTTAGTGTGACGCTGTTGCGCGTCCCACCCATCCGATTTTCTCGCACTTGCGCGAGTTCTTCCCTATTTGTTTGTGTTTATTCTGTGGCTCATAAAACAACATTGTTGTACGCGACACGGTTCACTGTTCGATTAAATACGCTTCAGTTAAATAGTTGTTTTCTAAGAGTTGTTTTCTTCGTATTCTCACGACCCTTAAATGAAAAAGAGTATTAGTGACTACAAACCTATATGAATAGCAAAATTAATTATTTTTCTTGGCTCGACAGGTCAAAATATTATATTTTGACCCTTTACGAATTTGAGGTAAGGGAGCCGCGCTCGAAAATTGTGCCTGTCCCACGTTTTCAAAAAAGCCGAAACGCGCACTATCGCTAACGCGTCAAGATGGCGGCAAGAGAAAATAGGCTCGCATTATTGTTGTGGTAGAGACCCATTTATTTGACTTGTCTTATCTATCGTAAAGAAACGTTGTATTCTTCAGGCTATCTTTGTATTTACCCCTGCCCATTTCGCTGGAAACTGATAAGTAACTGGAAATTGTCCGAGTGTCTGACACATCTTCATGTGTGACAATACCTCCACTTTTTCGAAATGTCGGGATCCGATACCTAGAATTGGATTTCCTGTAGACAGAGGCACTCCACAAAGTTCAAAACTTCATATCCAAGAAGACAGATATTTGACTCTTCGCGATCTTAACTTTTACCTTTCGCGTTTGTTCTTAGCCTACCGTTAACGTGGAAGCCAGTCGTGCCTTCCTCTCAAAGTTCAACACTGGCTTCTTGTGGGGACATTTCGTGATATTCGCGTAATGTTGGCTTCATCATTAACTTGCTAACTCTCCACAATTTAATGCTGGTAAAACAACAAGTGTAAAAGGCGTTAATAACATGCTGAACACATATGTGTTTCCACCCATCGTAAATAATATGAGCGCTTTGAAAGACGAAAAGCCCAAACAAAAGACGAACTTCCCCCTTTCGTAAAAGTGTGGCCCGCGCGGTGATGGGTCGCCAGTGACTCAGTTTCATTTTTCAAGCATTTTTTTCTTATATAGCTATTCGAGCTGCGGTACAAAAATTCCTGTCTACATAAAGGAATCTTGCGCGGAAAAATCATGATTCTATTTCAGCCATAAATCACTGGCTTGAGACTCATTATCCACGATAATAGTGAAAAGAACCGAAGTATTGCTTTCGTTTTGATTAGAAATTCGAAAACTCGAAAAGGCTGCTACGCGTTCGAATTGCCCACGGACGTCTTTCACGAATGCTGGCGACGGGGATGCTCAAACTTGGTTCTTGGAGTGCATTCACTAGAAGCTCTTTCTGGCCTTCTGCTTCGTTGCATTCACATCTTACACTTCTACTCCATCCTATTCCATCGATCGATTTGTCTCCACTCTCCGAAATCGCGCGCTTTAACCCGATTCTCTCATTGCGTCGCCTGGTACGTAGCCGGCCAAACGCCGTCTTCTTTCCATGCCTCGCCTGGCTCTGCCTCCTGGTCCTTCGATGGTCCATAACGTGTAGTTTTGTACGTTTGTTTCTCTTCAGAAACCGAATCTTCATGCGTGAAACTTTGTGTGCTATTTCCAGTGATCACAACTGACATATTCATGTTAGGAAAGAGTGCAAGAATTTTCCGCGCAAGATTCCTTTAAGGCAACTGTACGGGATCAGTCACTTAGGCAGCTTTTACTTTACTTTATTTTCAGGCTACGCAAGTTAGTATGGTTCTCGATTTGCTTCCCCTATTTCCGAAAAGCGATTATTAGGACAGTAGAGCCGCTAAGAACATTGACAACGCTCCCCTGTTGATGACACGCCCCCCACCGCTTCAATATCTGTCGCGTCGCTAACTCCTATGCTATTCACTCGTACTTCTCTAGCGCTCTCCGCGCTCACATTATCTCTCATCTCCCTGCCGGCCTTTTGAACTTCTCCGCAGCGTAGAGCAAAAGGCTCGTATTTCCTGTGCATTTCACGATTTTTTTTTCTTTTTTCTCCACTGGCGGTCCACTTCCTACCCCTACTTTCACATTTGAGTGGATTACCTCATAATTTAATCCTGAATCTTGCCTTTAATTTCATCATCAAGGCGCATCAGGTAAGAACTGTGTTTCTGCTCATGTTGCTAAAGTGATGTGTATTTAATCTGTTACGACATGATCAAATAACAGTGCCTGACGCTTAATCACAAACTTAATTACAGTGGGCACTGATCATTGGCTCGGACTTGCTTTCTTGCAAGGAGTGCTTGTCTGATCTGGTCTCTTGTCGATGAGCTGGTTTCGGCTTCCGTTGGTAGCTATTTCGCCTTTTATCTTTCGACGAGACTTGCTAAAATTCGTCTTATTGCTATGAACCACTCAGAAGCATTGATTAACAGTACTCACAGCCAAGGTCAGCACAAAGTGTGTTTGAATGGTGCATTTGTCGTGCACTGCACAACCATCCCTTCTTACAACCTTCATCACATTCACCAATACCGTCGAACTTGGATCGGCGATAGTAATTCCTCGAAATAACTGATCATTTAATTTATCTGTTTTACATTTATGTGAGAAAGAAACGAAATTTTACTAACTCGCGGTATTTCTCGAAAAGCACGTCATCTGTCTTCATTCGCTCAATCATGTTATTCCACTCGGCGGCGCTTGTGATTTCAACCCTGTAACCGAATCTGGTTCAGCATTTCTCACCAATCTTGTAACAATCAGCAAAGATGTACCATATTCAAGATTGACACTGGCATATAGTTGCTTCCACTGAGGATCTTTAGGATTTGCGTTGGCTTCGGTGAGATTCAAGTACCACTCTTCAAAATCGATCACTTGCTATAAGTTTGTTCATAATTTCACGAGAAATGTACGAAGATTTGAAACCTACACATAGTTTCTAGCCATGGCGTACTGCTGCCATTCATGTACCACCAAACTTGTAAGCATTTAAGCGGAGGAAGAGTTCTAGAGGCCCAGACTGCCGAGAGGAGTTCGACCGCTCTCTTTTCAACCTTTCCCCTTTGACACTCCTTTTCAAGGTCTGGGAAGAGCTTAGCTTCTGAGCAACATTGGTACTACGAAAATCGCCAGGAATTAAGATACCATCCACAAAGCTGGAAAGACGGTTGGTCCATGATCACCTCTATGAGCGACTTTGTCTAACTCCAACCTGCATAATCTGCCCATTCGGAAAAGAGTGCATGATATAAGACGTTGCTCAGTAGTTCTTATAAAACATAGCTGTGGGGTAATAGAGCAAGAAGCAGATCAACAGGAGAGACGAGTGCATGGGCTTACTAGGGAGCTCTTACCCTTCGTAACCTTGGCGGGTATTGATATACCGGCGCCGAGGCATGGGTTCCAAGCTTAGCCCCAAAATCCATACCTACGAGAAGGATGCGGCGAAGACCAGCAGAAACCAGCGTTTCGACCCAAAAAGAAATTGATGTGTTCAATCCTGGTGACTATCGAAGCAACACCACCAGATCAATGTTGTGGGGTTACAGCGATCGATAATAGAGTTGTGGATGCCGAACTGACTGGAAATGAAGAAAGAGCGAAGAAAACCGTCACTGGAACTATTATCAATATCGTATCCCCTCCCTCTCGCCCTTGGAATAAGGAAGGGGTGGGGCAGGACGAGATGCACGAACTTGCTTGCTCCACAGCTCCACTACCCGCGCGTATTTGACGCCTGCAATCTACAGTGCGTGCCATTGGGTACGCGCGAGGTGCCTCATCCATCAGGTCAATTTAGTCGACATAAATTCACTTTGTAATGCCCTAGGCCATTGTCGCACACTTTCGAGACGCGACAACGGCACATCTGTGATACTCGTGGACTACCCTGTCCCACCCACAGAACAGATTCATCGACACGACTTCTGCTGGAGTTGCTGTTTCAAGTTCGGTAACCTGACTGCCGAAGTTTGAATTTCATCGGAGATACACGGGAATACATGTTTTAGTTTATGAGTATCTATGGGTTCAATGTTCACCAAGATCGGTGCATAGTGCTCCAAAAGAATCATGGTAGTGAGTTGACAGTTAGATTTCCATTCCTCACTGCACAAGAAGCTTCTTGTAAGTAACTCACATACGACGATCCCTGATATGCTCCGTCAATGGTGTAGATCCGATATGCGGGGAAATATTCAGAATACGTAGTAACCGAAGGAGCTGAGTATACTACGCTGGTCGGACGGGTTGACGCTGATTCTGGATTCTCGTAGGTGACATAGAATTCTTCTGAATGTGTGTGGCCGAAGAACTGGCCAACGATGGTATTTTGGAATCTGCAATAGTATATAAGGATATCAACACATAATGGTATCGTACAGTTTTGATATTCGTCCTGAAGAGTAAACGAAGTTGAGGCGCTCTGCCGGCAGAGTCTTTATTACCGCTGCTTCCGGGGTTAATAGCTGCGCGAGTTTCATCACGAGGGTCGCAGTGGCTCTGGTGGAACACAGGAAAGGGTCGTACTTGTGATTTTAGGGAAGGGTTGTAGATGGATTAGATGGTAGTATGGAGGAAACAGGAGAAAAAGTGAAGCAACAGCATCAAAACGCCAAATTTGCTGTTTGAGCAGTCAATATACCCCGTTCCCGATCTCCAAGGAATTCCGGGCTGAGCTGGAGCTTTCCAGGTTGAACTGGTTTGACAATGCTATTATCTCAACGACAGAAGAGGGTCGTAATACGGGGAAAGTCGTGTTGTCGCAGCCATTTCCTCCATGGCGACATTCCCACTGCTACTTCTTTCGCAATGAAGACTCTTCTTTATCAAAGCTAGCACCGATGGGGTATGAGGCGTGATTTTCCCAAGAACCCACGCATACATTTAGAGCGTTGCAGCCTTTACTTGCAGTGCACTCATAAAGCTTCAGGACCTCCTATTCTCACGGTCACCCTTCTTGTCAGGAATTAAAAAACTAGTTCGGGGCTCAACATTCAAAGACACGGTCCGAGATTAGGCACGCTCACGCGTCCCATCCTCGATCATTGTAGACAAGCGAACCGTTGATATCGCGCCCTTTTGGGGCTTGAAAGACAACTGCGCTAGAAGCTCACTCGACTCGCAATCCACACCTTCGTTCGCAAGCCCCGCCTTCCGTTTCGGGTGCCACGTGACGCTGCGAGAAAAGCGCGAACGCAGTTGCGGCAGCGGTTGCATTGCGGTTAAATGTCACTGGCACTGGCGCAAGTGGACTTCGTGAAAGCTCGTCCAACTCGCCCCTTCTCTATCCCAAGGTGGAATGTGGCTGAAATAGGGGAGGTCTTTGTACGGGGCGTAATCGGTGGTTTCGTTTGCTTTCCTTCTCTTTTCCAGACCACCATCCACCTTCAGCTTCATAACTGAACGCCCTTCACACCCATTTTATCCCGAGGCTTCTATTTTAGTAGTGACCAAAAAGCATATACACTGGAAGACTTATAAGTATGGGCTTGCACGCAAGTATCGATTATAGATTCAGCCATCGAAAGCCGTACTGTGAAAAGAGTGACGTGACCAACTGGTAGACTTAAGAGTTTATCCGGCACTATTGCACTATTACAACCCCAGTAGGGGTGAGATGGGTCAAAAAATAATTTTCGCTGAAATTCGGCTATGGGGGTTATCGAGGGCCCTGATCACGAATATGACATTTTTGGCGCTGGCGCCAATTTGGCGCCATTTGGCGCCAGGGCGCCACACTGATTCCCACTAAATTCGCTGTAAACTTCTGTATAGGGGTTATTTGGGGTCCTGATTACGAATATGACATTCGTTTTTGTTGTTAGCGCTATTCGGCGCCTATTTCCTGCTCGTCTGCGCCCTCGCACTAATTAGATCGCAATCAGGACTAAGCCTTTGAATAGTGGAGGGCTCCAAAGTGAGTAGGCCACTCCCCTGTGGTCTGACACACTCCAACTTTTGCCACACGGTGCGTGGTTTACCCACTCCGGAGTTTCACTCCCCTCCCCTAAGCTTAGTCGTAGGCGCCATAGGTGAGAAAGCTTAGAAAACCAGAAAATATGCGTTAAACAACACGAATGTTAAAACCAGCAAGTGAAAGCATAATCTGTGATCCCGGGTCCCCGACTCACATATTAGACGCTTATCAAGTCGAATTTGGTGCAGATAATCTCGAGTTGAGAGTGGCGGCAATTTGGAGCGCGACAGCGGGCCGCAAAAGGTAGTTGGGATCCTGAATCGTGATCCAGGACCCAATAGCTGATACCCCACCATAGGCGAAAAAAGTTTCAGCGAAAATTATTTTTTACCCATCTCGGCCCCCACTGGGGTTGTAATAATGCAATAGTGCCGTTTATCCTATTATTTATAGAATACACGTACCTAAAAATAGCAATTCTCATGCTCATTCAAACAAACTTTCTCTCTTTTCTATTTTGCTTACTAGGAATGGAGCAAAATCCCCTGCCTCTGGGATTTAGGCGCAAATGGAAAGAATCTGAAGCTTGAAAAGAAAAGATTTTGAAGAGAGCCGAGCTGTCTCTAACGTGTGTATGATGATAAATACAGAGGAAAAGGTATTGCGAGAATGATCAAGCCCTCATTATTCGGCTTAAATTTGCTCGAAATATATCAAGGAAAATACTGTAGGGATCATAAATGCATGACCTGCCCGACTGGTATTCATAGCTTTTGAAAACACAACATGGAGCTCTTGCTCGAATTGGAGGGTTAGTGACTCGTCATGTCCACAGGCGACGTGTCTGGCAAGCGATGACTGAATTTCCAAATTTAAAAAGAAGAGGGCGAAAAGTCAAAAAGGTACGTATTTTCTACCAATAGTTTATAATTATCACTGCCAACCAACGGTTTGATTTCCGAGCCGTTTAGACCATTTTATCGAAAGTTAAGGCGTAGGGAAGGGAATACAAGGGATGGATCCATTGCAAACGTTGTTTTAGTATAAATTTCAGAAAATAGACGAAAATTAGCGGTGATATTGATATTATCTGAGTTTGGGGTACAAAACTTAATATGTTTCAAATTGCATACTCCTGTGATCAAAACTGATTTACTGTTGTAATTAAAAAGAATGGGAAACTATATGAGTAAAATACCTGTTAATCACATTGTAGTAGTTCAAGGCCCAACCTTCGAGAGCCTCTCCGTTTCCACCAGGTATATGCGCCAGTATATGAACCTGAATAGTGTGAAGTTTCTTCATGGAAAGGTAACAAAACTCAATAGCTCTCTGTTCTCTAACTTTCATTATTTTACGAGGAAAATGTTTTTGCTACCTCTGCCTATTTGGGCCACTCTAATGGAATCTAGTTGAAAATAAGGTAATCAAAAACGACCATGTAAAAATAACTGTAAACAAAACTTGTGACAACCACGAAAAGATTCGTGGTCCTACGTTTCTGTAGAGCACAGCAGTCAATGTCATAAACGCTAACCTCTCAGTCGAGGGGGGGGGGGTGAAACTGAAGGAAAAGCTCTATCAAGTGAATTCAAAGTGAACGTTTTCTTCAACCAACGGTGAAAAGAGGAATTTCCACCCCGTTGAGACATGCGATCCGCGTCATTTGTCTGAATTTAACTGTATTGTTAGTGTTCCGACTACTAATTCCCTGTCTTCTTACGTTCGTATTTCCTGAGAAAGACAAAAACATTACTCTCTGATGGAAATTCAAACCCTTAACTGACAAAGGAGTTGCATGACGGAATATGTGTGTTACATAGTACCCAGCAAGCTGCTCTTTAAATTGGTTAAGTTTTGGCCTGAGAGGCTGAGTTCGCCTAGGAGATCTCAAAATTACCCTTGTTACACTAACAGGAGTCTAAGACTTTAACCTACAGGTATTCAAAAATAATTAATTGTATAGAGTGACAGATGAGGTAGCGCCTTTCGAACTCGTGCACCGAGCAGACGGTACAAAAAACGCCGGTACGCCTTACGCGACACGCTGCCGCGTGTGCGGGCGGACTTCGTTGGGATCCGCGATTGATAATACCAGTCTCACTGGTGCTGTGATTTGGTTGAAGGGCCTTTAACTCGATCATGGCTGCCAAAAAAAATAGAGAGGCGTTGCCGAACAAGTATGCCCTTCTCGCTGGCTTGGCCATGACGGTCGTGGTTGGAGCCCAGCATCAATGACTTTAAGGGAACATCAAATGGATCCAGTTAGGCGCTGCTAATGTTTCGGTGCTGGCCCCTCACTTATCCCCATACTGCCTCGTCCTAGTGTTTCTTCTTCTACTGTTAGGCCCACTGTTCACAAATGGGAGTTCCGTTTTTGTTGCTTCTTTTACTTACTTTTTCTTCTGCTTTTCTTTTTTCGTCGGCTTCCTCTTTGCGCACTTTTACTTCCACACTTAATCAAACAGGAATGCCTCTTAGAGTGCAGATACGCTGTTAAGCCCAGCAAATTCAAGAACCTTTTCATAGTGTGTTAAGCGTAATGGTCAGAAATCAGAATGAATTCTGGAGCTCTCACCTTATCACCTGCAGTTTCAGCATCGTGCAGCTGCTTAATAAGCCAGGTTAGTGTGCCATCAGGATCGGTCTGGTTGACATAGAGGAAACTGAAATTCATCTCCAATTTTTCTGGTCACACCACTATTCCGATGCTCTCTACTATGCCATCGTATGCGAACTCGTCAGGTCTTCCTGGGGGACCCTTCAGATCAACAGAAATATTTTATTTTCACCCTTTTCTAATCTATCCTCTAGCCTACAGGAGAGAATAGCCACGAAGTGAGAAACCTAGACCCTTATTTTAGTGTGTCGAACTATCAGTCTTCCTCAGTATCGCCTCTCTGTGATGCTGCGTAAAAATGCAGAGCTACGTAAAAGAACAAAATTAATGCAATCCGAACTTACAAGTTGACTGCATCGCCTCCGAGCGCATTATTCACAGAAATGAGACGTAGACCGGGATAGAGTACTTTCATATAGCAGCCCATACTGAATTTCGAGATGGATATCTTCCAATTTCATGATCAAAATCACATCTTACTTACTATTTTACGGTTTTAACTTGGTCCTCTGGGATCCATCCATTCCACGCATCAGCCATTGCATCATACAGCCAGTCCATATGAAATTGTTTCGGTGTGAAATGTGGAGCGAAGCTGGGAAAAGCAAATGGTTATGAACAAAACGCAGTAAGGGTTGACCTCCCTTAGTAGAAGAACCTACTTGTCGATTGGTACACCTTCATGGTTTCCAACAGCGAAGTAGGTGGGAATATTCGGGAAGAACCTAGAACGAAACATTCTGATCATATCTTTTGCCATAACTTCCCTGAACTAAGTGAGGCAACTGCTTCTTTCACAACTGAGTCGTTCAATAGCGGCGTAAAGAGCCCAATCCTCGATGGCTTCACTAGTAAAAAGACTGGAATTCTTAACAGCGCGAAACCTAACATTCGAATCGTATCCGAGATGTTTTTCACCATTGCCACATGAGCTTCTCGGGTGTAGTCCCAGACGGCGTGTGAAACGAGATCGCCGGAGACCATCACATAGTTGAGCTGGAAACCGAGTTGTTAAGTTTTACAAGCTAAATTCATGAAGCTGAATAGTTGTAAGCTAGCAAAGAAGCTTACATCTTTGTGATTCTTCTGAATAAATTCGAGCATGTTTGTGAACAGCCATTCAGGAGTATCACAATCGCCAACCATCCCCCACGGACCAGCCGGTACTTGCACATCCTCTTTTGCTGCTACAGCTACTTCCTATAAAGATCAATACAGCGATCAGCAATACATAGAGGCATCAAAGTTGACCTCTACGCTCACGCTTTAGAGCCTTTATTCTGCTTCAGTTCAAAAATGTAAAAACCCTTGAATCCGCCTTTAGATAATTTGCGCAACTAGCTGATGTTAGGTTAAGTGTATATGCCAGCTTCGTTTCCCGGTCCGCCTTCTCGCAATAACAGGCTGAGTAGTCTATACATAACCTCAGAAAAATACCACTTGTGCTTTCTAAGGCTGACGCGCATGCGCGTCGGACATTCAGGGCCGTATCGGACATTCTGGACGCGCAGTGGCGTAAAAACTACGTTAGTTTTTTTCTGTGCGTGTTTGCGCTCCTATCTACTTCGGTATTTTGTATGCTCATTCTATAGTAATATTTTATTAGGTTGTCTCATAAGTAGTGGCGCATTTTTTCAAACGGAAATTTTTCTTGTGAACCTCTAATGTTTTACAATGTTTCATATACCATTCGATAGGAAATTATCTGCTCTACAAGAAGGTATGTACCCTTTTTTTGATTGTTGCAAATTGTTTGAGTTTTAGGCATGCAAAGTGGGAGCTTCAGACGACGAATTTTCGCCAAACCGACAGCTGACCTAAACTTTATAATTCCCTAGAAGAAATCAATCAATAATGTAACTATAACTTACTCATAACCTCTACTAAACATTCCACATTTAGGTTCCCTAAAAGCTTGTCTCGTTTAATTTTGAGATTTAGTTATTCCAGTGCAACTCGGTGGTCGCCTGTCAACCCATAGAGCTTCGTTCAGAGTGGAATTTTCCATTCCGATTCTTAGGTATTGACGCCACTTTATACACCTTTATAAAGTGATTCTTCTGCTCTACTTATTTGCATTACGACCTTGGTTTTGATATCAATCATCGTCGAGTTTTAGCGTAGAAAATGGTGGTATGTCAAGTCGACGAGAAGGAACACTTCCGGCACCTTCTGCTGTTCACCTTCAACCAAGGATCGAGTGCCACAAAAGCCGGCAGGCAACCACCGAGTTGCACTGGAATAACTAAATCTCAAAATTAAACGAGACAAGCTTTTAGGGAACCTAAATGTGGAATGTTTAGTAGAGGTTATGAGTAAGTTATAGTTACATTATTGATTGATTTCTTCTAGGGAATTATAAAGTTTAGGTCAGCTGTCGGTTTGGCGAAAATTCGTCGTCTGAAGCTCCCACTTTGCATGCCCTAAAACTCAAACAATTTGCAACAATCAAAAAAAGGGTACATACCTTCTTGTAGAGCAGATAATTTCCTATCGAATGGTATATGAAACATTGTAAAACATTAGAGGTTCACAAGAAAAATTTCCGTTTGAAAAAATGCGCCACTACTTATGAGACAACCTAATACAGAAGGCGGAAAACTATAAACCACATGGATGCCACAGCGGGTTTTCTGACCTCACAAATTTTCAGTTCGATTCTTTCCTAATTTCCCTTTCTTACTGTAGTAAACATTCATATGTGAAGGAATTGTAGAAGAAGTTACCACAAAACTGTGCATTTCAAGATATTTGTATTCGATAGGAAAGCTAAAGTATAAATGCTTTTCACATTATGCGCAATGACCCTTAGAAAGTCCCCCTGTCTTTCCCCTCGGCAAGTTTCCCCTTCTTCGGAATCGCGGAATCCTCCATTGAAGGAACCCTTAAAAATATTTATGTGTCTCACCCATAAGTCACTAGCTTGAGACAAATCGTTCACGATAAAAACGAAAAGAACAAAAAACTGCGTTTCTTAGCAAAAGCCCATGTGTATGCATACCCAACCCCAAGCCTTATGTTAGCCTAACATTAGGGCTTAATTATCGCGCAGCTGACCTATGAGGTGATTTAGATGTCTCTTTCTTTTCTCTCAGCGGATATAAAGCGGTTGTGCTAAGAATTAACCCGCATGCATTCACTTTGGAAGTAGGACCTACATAGGAAGTCAGAGTTACGTGAGCATTGGTCAGAATGCTTCATCTTGCGTACATATTCAGGTGTAATAAAAGCAAAGCAATGACTCTAAAATCGACCACTCACATCTGGGTCCTGCTGGGGTCGGCAACATAGGGGTTCAGAGCATTTCGCTTCCATTCCTGGAGTATAGTACATATCCAAATGAATATCCGTTAAGTGCAGTACACGTAATGTCGGTTTTCCAGCCTGAAATCGTTCACTTAGAAACGAACGAAACATATGTTCTTAGCGCAGAAGTTTTTTTGTGTTAGTTCCTTTGGAGTGTGGGCCAAAAGTCCTTGGCTGCGGTGATGCTGCGAGCAGCTTCGCACGCGTAGTTGTGAGCGCGGCACCTGAGTTACCTAATGGCCTGAAAAAGTCCTGCTTGTGGAGGAGCCTAGTTTCTATGCGCCACAGATCTCCTGAGGCACCCCCTCAATTTCGCTACTGACTACTTCCTACTTAGCACAAAAGCAATTCTAGAGTAGTGGAATTTGTTCCTTGGCAGAACAACGTTGTTGGTACCATTCACATGTTGAGTGCGGAGTCCTACCACGACCTTACCAGTTGGATTTAGCTCCTGAAACTTTGGAACATCTTCGGCACATCCCTAAGAATGAAACATGACCATTCAAACCTTGAGTGCCTGGTCTATGGAGCCTAACTAGTGCCTGGTCTATGGAGCCTGACTAGTTCTTATCAACCTGAGTCAACTCTCAATAATTATTAGTCTAAAAGAATTCATTATCAGCAAGTAAGGGACAGCATCGGCATAACTGACTGGGGTGTGACAGGAACGCGTCGCTTTAACTGCATTTATTTGCGCCTGCTCCCTTTGGGTGTTTCCGTGGGTGAATGTGTACACAAGTTGTTCACGATTACGCGCTATAGCCTGGGGCCGTATGCTATCCTCCCCGAAGGGGTTAGGGGACGAAAATTCCTTTAAAATTTCTCTGTCTTCCCAACTGGGATTGCCCTGATGAAGGGCCTACATTTAATGTATGTATGTAGGTAAAGTAAACATGCACTGAAAATGAAGAAACTATACAGTTCAAAGCAAATAAATTTTAAAGGAACTTTGAATCGCCTAGCTTCGGGGAAGCATAGCATACGGCCCCTGGTCACATCCAATGATCTCCCAAACGTCATATTTCAAAGCAAGGGCCAGGCTCAATGCATACTTTCTACTGTTCCTTGTCCAGCCATGCTGATGAAGTCCTCTGTACCTAGAAATTTCATTTCCGCGAGCTGAACCCTTTGAGCTGCCTCCAGGAGGCGATGTTAAAACATCAACAGTTCTTCTTTCTTATTCGAAAGGGTATACGCTATGTATTCTGCACAAGACATTTCGTCAATGCAGATGGCCTACGGGCAATGCCGAAAGATCGAAGTAATTGTCACGCGCGCTTTCCTGATGCTGTTTGATGCTACTACATGTGTTATTACATCTGCAATTACGGCACGTCTTGCAGCGAGTAACAAAACATTCATGCGCTTCGTAATTTCGCAAATATTTCGGGGAATCATATATACGGTTCTAAATTCTACTCTTTCATCAAAGTTTAGGTGCAAATTGACTTTTAGTGAAAAAGCAAGGAAAAGAAACCGTCCGAAAAAAATGAAAAAAGGAGGAGTCGTTGAAGCAGAGAGCCGGGTAAGCAATACTGCTCTGATACGAGAGAACGATAGATGGGGACGAGGAAGCATAGCTGGGAGCGACACACATGCCGCAACGGTGGGGTGTGCAATCCATGGGGAAGGTGTGCAATGGTCTAGGCCCTAAGCTCTCGCACCCTTCCTGTTTCGGGACGTGAAAGCAGCAACACCTCTGCAGATGCGATCCCGGCGGCCTCATTCATGAAAGGACCAAAGAACTTCCTCGTGAGCTGTGCCTTTAAGGCACCGAAAACCAAAAGTAGCCAACATTGGTACTTCTACAATTTTCTACATTAGTTCTCGGTAAAAGCTGTCCTTACAGGCACTGGTTGTTTGTCGATGGGAGTTGGTTTCCCACCAGGCATTGGTATGCTCCAAGTAGAATTGAACGGATCAATGAATCTGCCGCAGTCTGCAAATAGGTTAAGTGAATGGGGAACTGTGTGGTTGCCTAAAAATAGAAATGCAATTTTTTAGCTGCCAGTGAGAATTTCTTTATTTTCTTCATACTCCTCACAACTCACCATCCATCAGTAAGCCACAAATTTGATGGGGCTCGACGATAATCTGACCAAGAACGTACATGAACTCGTCCTAAAATTTCCAAATTTACAGTGATTCTATTCCAATTTTCCCTATTCTACTTGACAATAGAAGATATGCAGATAATATCGGTGTTGTAGATATGAAAATTATTCCGCTCTTGCGACTCGACTTTTAGGATTCTAGAGACTCACCGAGAAGTCACCAACAATCCCTTTGCAGATGAAGTGGTCTTCAATTTTGAACGTCTTGCAAATAAATAGAGCTAGCTCGCCTGTAAAAATGTGACAAAATGACAGTATGCAATTTCATCAAAAATGACTGAATAAAAAAATCATTACACTATTTTGTTAAAATTGAGAAAGAGACTGAGCGGCGTTAACTCCAGTCCTACTGTTTTTTGTTTGTTGAAAGCACTTTAGCTATACAGTTTTTTTTTGAAAAAATAGAGCTATATAATTTCCCTTTTCTGTAATGCCTACACCTCAGATCTAGCATCGCCACTCAGCCTAGTGATGAACAAGATTTCTGTGATAGTCACCATGAAGGTGGGCATGGAGGTGCAAGTGAATACTCCTGAAGTTTTTGCCAAAATCGTCACACCATTCTGGTAGAAACGACTACCCTCTTCCACAACCTCTTCTATACATCCACGAATGCAACCCACAATTTGGACTCCCTCAGAGGGGTCGTTGACTCTGCTTGGAACGCTTGCCATACGGTATGTGAATCATCAAACCACCGCGCACGCTGTGACCTAATTAGTTTCGGTTCGGAGTCATGTTTCTTTTCAACGGGAGATGTTCAGTCCTCCTCCTACATAGGGTCAGGTCACCAAAGTTGCGCGATCATTGAAGCCTAAGGTTAATAGTTTAGGCTTAGGCTTATGCTTACACATTGGCTTATGCTTAAGCCTATGATTGGGCCTAGGCTTAGTCCTAAGCTTGCTTCGAGCAAATGAGTGTGTCTTATTTTAGGTGACCTGACCTGAGGAGGGAACTGCAACGCACCCACTCAATATTGTTGAATGTCCGAAAGAGTGATTACAATTTCCCAGTGCTTGAATTGCTGAACGAAATACACATCAAGTCTAATTAACAGTGAGTCGTTCTCTGCGCTCTCAGAAAATTGCTTAGCACCACTTATTTCTCAATTTTTCTCATAGAGTTTTCGACGTGTTGACTGTCGTTACATTTGCATTCTTCCAAATGAGTTTGAACTGTAATAATATCTCGGTTAGAGAATAGCGAACTAGTCACTATTTCCAAACAACCCGTGCCTTTTTTATGCATTCGCTTTGCTTTGCACGATAGGTGCCTTATCAGCGAAAATGATTTATGATTCCTTAGCGTGTCCGAACGCGTCTTGTAAATTATTGATACCGAGTAATTAATCGCAAACTTCTAGAATTTATTATAAGGGAACGGAATTGTCTGTAGGTAGTCACCAGTTGACAAGCCGTTTCACACATCCTCATAAGAGATTCCGCTAAGCAAAACCAGAGTTCTCACTCATTTTTCACAAGACGTCATGTAGACAAAGTGTTGGCAGATTTTTATGAATTTTGCTTTTACGCTCAATTTTGTCGCGCAACATATTAACCTAGAGCGTGATCATTGTTGATCACCAGTATGTATCACTTACATAAAAGTGAACGAAGATAAGTAGAAATCACACAGACTAGTTTATTTCCCTCGTTCGGGGTTTTCGCTTGTTCCCCTAACGTTCCGTCAGAAACGCTAGGGAGAGGAGGCGTTTGGCGGTTTAAAGGACATATCTCAAACCTTGAGCCATGTTTAGGCCTTTGAGGAAGACGATCTCGTCGAAACGTCAGGCCACTAATAAAGATTTCACCTAACAACCTCGTTGGCAGAAGAGTTACATTACAATTAGAAATCACACAGTCACTGACACTTGTATAGCCTTCCTGCCCTTTTGGGGCGAAATGATATCCTAGAGAATCGCTTATTCCCTAGATCCCAGGCATCTTGGAAATTTTAATCTTGCCACAGCTCAAAAGTAGCACGAGTCGGTTTGAAGGAAAAATGCAGTTCATGTTTTATTGCCTACCATGGATGGGGACGAGCAGGACGTGAAAGTTTGCCAGTGATTGATCAGGTTCCCTTGATTACCAAAAGAGTCACCTCCCCAAGCCATAGTGGTGTGCGCCGGAACTCATGCGTTTGCCGCCCTTATTCCGCCTATCGAAGGGAGCTCAGCAATCCCCTAGGGAATGAAAGATTTCAATAATCTTATGTTTTTGTTCCACCAGAAAGTTTACACTTTGTTGTGCTCACGTTTGTCTTGAACTTACCAACGCATTCTTCTGTCGCTTTGTCACCCCAAGCGTCATGAAGGAGTTCAACGGCAAACTTGCATTCTTCGCATTCGCTAGAAGTTGCTGCTGCTGAAACTAAACGTATAAGGCATTTGGGCATCAAGCCTGGAATTGAAAGCATTGGGAAATGAGCCTTCTCAAATTGCTTTAGACATATACATATATTGGGTTGGAAAATTTTTTTGCCACGTTAGAGATTGCATTGCAGATTTTTACTTTTTTGAAAAGCGTAAAATTAAACGTGCTGGAATCTCAAAATACAGGCCAAAATATTTTCTTCTTAGATTAGCAACCACAGGATGTCCCCAGGAAACTCACCCCCATTCAGAAGCAGTAGTACCAGTAAAGCAAGTCGACGCATCGCAGCGTGGAGTAGAAGATTTCCTATCAGCGAATGGTCTTCAGTCTTTTTCTGATAAAAGAATAGTCGGAAAACAGGGCACTAACGCAGAAGGAAAATCGCACTTTAGCACAAAGATTAATCGCTTCATGATATCTGTATCATTTCTGGAATTTTATCAGTAAAATTGAAGGAAGGCTCGATGTTCTATGTGCTTGGGTTCATACGACGCGATAATTTTTATTTTTTTCATATAATTTTTTCCATGGCAATATCAAAAATAAAAATTGATCTAGCATTCGCATAAGTATTAGAAATTCTGATTGCAATCTGAAATGCGGCCGACTATGTATTGTATGCGGAGGTAGTTTTCATATCTATGACTCAGGCCAACCCCCATGGTTTGCTTAAATTCTTATGTGTTCACGGATAATGAATTCTGCACTAGACAGCAAGGAACGAAAGTTGCTCTTTTTAATATTTCCGGATTGATCAAATTCTTCGTGAAAGGGTTCATGGTAGCTAAAGCAGAAAAGTTTGGAAGCGTCCACCAAATTGTCAAGTAGAAAAAGGGGGCATACAAGCGCAGGCGGGAGAAGCAGAGCTCAGATGACCTCGTTGCCTTCAGGCTTGTCGAGTCGCTGTCGCCAAGATGAAGAATACGAGGACGGACTTGTACGAGAAGCTGGAGAGCTGAAGGGCATAGATGCTTGTATTCACACAGGCTAGGCTCGACATCGAGGCAGGGATAGCCGAGTGGTTAAGAGGTTAGACTCATGTCTGCACCTCTGAAAACCGCGAGTTCGATCCCTGCCGAGGCTCTAACCATGCCTTGCAAAAATTGCAAAAATGGTTCTAGTACCAGCGTCAGGCCCAGGTTGACAGGCCGGCTGATGAAGACCCCCGTCACAACAAATATGTCTAAAGTCGAAAAAGGAATCAGTGAAAAAGCTAGGACGAACTGGGAAGTCCCGAGAGGTTGCTGATCTGATGACGCGCAGGAATATCCAAGTCCTATGCCTTCAGGAGACGCGATGGAAAGGTGCTAAGGCCAGGGAAATCGGGGAAGGTGTCAAGCTCTACTACAATGGAGAAGACACCAAGCGGAGTCGCTCAAGGACTATGTCTCCGCTGTGAACAGGATCAGCGATCGGATCATGGCTGTGAGGATAGACACGAAGGAGGGGTACTGGACCATACTCTCCGTGTACGCACCGCAAGCCGGATGCCCCGAAAGTGATAAGGACGAGTTCTATCTGAGCCTGGACGAAGCCATAAGATCGATTCCGGAAGGCGATTACCTGACCATAGCAGGTGATCTGAATGGTCACGTCGGCAGTGACAGAAGAGGCCTGGAAAGGGTGCACGGAGGTAGAGGGATAGGAACGAGGAACGCTGAGGGAGAGAGGGTTCTGGACCTGGCTACAGCCCACGATCTGGCAGTCTGCAGCACGTTCTTCGCGAAAAGGGAGACTCAAAAGGTAACCTACAGCAGTGGAGGGAGACAGACGGAAATCGACCATGTGCTGGTAAGAAGATCATCCCTCAAAACTGTGAAGGATATCAAATCTACCCGGCGAAGATCTGGCTCCCCAGCACAGGCCCCTCCTGGCAGACATTGCATAGACCTCCCCAAGAAGACAAGGGTAAGAACCGAGAGGAGAATCCGGTGGTGGAAGCTGCACCAAGCGGAGAAGGATGACCTCAAGCGAAAGATAATGGAAGTCGGTCTCCCAGATCCTAACGGGCCAATACAGCGGACTTGGGGCAACGCGGCTGAGACCATCCTGCGATGTGCCAAGGAGGTACTGGGCGAGACGCGAGGTGGATTCAGAGGAGACAAGGCAGCGTGGTTCTGGAACGAGGAGGTCCAGCGAGTCGTGAAGCAGAAGAAGGAAGCATACAAGCGCTGGCAGAAGACCCGGAGCCCCGAAGACCTCGCTACCTACAAGAGTTGCAAGAGGCTCGCTAAGGCTGCGTCGCCAAGGCGAAGAACACGGAGATGGACGCCTTGTACGAGAAGTTGGAAAGCAGAAACGCAGAGAAGTTCGTCTTCAGGCTGGCTAAGGCCCGGCATCGGCTACTCAAGACATCAGGGTGGTGAAGAGTGTAAAAGGCAGCGATGGTGTCATCCTGAGGAAGCCAGCCGAAGTCAAGAGGAGGTGGGAAGAGTACTTCAGGGCTTCTGAACGAGGAGTTCCCCCACAAGAACAACTCACGGGCAGAGGCCACAGCTGGTCCCATCGCACTCTGGACTGAGGATGAGGTTAGGTGTGCACTTGGGAGGATGAAGGTTGGAAAGGCGGTTGGCCCAGATGGGGTGCCAATCGAGGCATGGAAGGCGCTCGGAGAGTACGGCATAAGGTGGCTCACCAGCTTCCTGAACAAGGTAACAGTGGAAGGAAAGATGCCGGATGCATGGAGGACAAGTACCATCGTCCCCATCTTCAAACAGAAGGGCGACGCAATGGACTGCTCCAACTACCGCGGGCATCAAGTTGACTGCAACAGAAACACGGAGTTGTACGAGCGGCTGGTCGATAAGAAGCTGCGGGTGCTGGTCCCGGTCTCCCAGGAAAATTCGGGTTCATGCCTGAAAGATGCACAACGGATGCCTTCGTCGTCAAGTGATGGAAAGTTATAGAGCAAGCCTTTCTACCTAGCCTTCCTCGACCTGGAGAAGGCGTTCGACCGGCTACCGCGAGCAGTGCTGTGGAGGTCGCTCAGGGAACGAAACGTGCCAGAACACCTGATCTCGCTGGTGAAGGACATGTACGAAGGAGCCAAAGCAGCCATACGCACCCCTCACGGACTAACAAAGGAGATAAACATCACGGTTGGGGTGCATCAAGGGTCAGCTCTGAGCCCCTTCCTGTTCCTCCTAACGCTCAATGCCATTGTGAAGGGCCTCGTGTAAGGACCACTATAGACCATCCTCTACGCTGACGACATAGCTCTGATAGCGGATAGCAGAGAGGGAGTCACTTCAGGAACTTCAGGTGCAGAGATGGCAGAACGTCCTGCAGAAGGTTGGCTCC